AGAATGGAGGACAGGGACGGAGGGCATTCATCCAAAACTCAGGCAGCATCTCCTCCCCATCTCTGCCTCAGAGAGAACAATCAAAGCAAATCATGTCCTCATCTCTCAAACAGACTGGATGGATACTCTTCAGAGAGACAGACCAAGGCTTTGTCTGGAAACAACTAGTGGCGTGGGGTCTGTAACTATGAGCATTGCATCTGGCCTGGACCCAGCACTCCCTGGCCGATGGGACTGGCATTCATGATGCAAGAATCAACGTTGTAGGTTTGGCCTCTTCTTTGAGCTGTTGGGTAGTAAGCCCAGAGTAATTCTAGATGTGCTCTGGCAATTCTGATATTCAGTGTTGTCATCAGTATGTCCCATTATGGCCCCCTTAACATCACCAGCTCAAGAGTGCTAGCACAGGGGAGTGCATCGCAGCTGGGAGACAGGCAAGAAGCATGTCTAGTCCCATCTGATTTGCCATCACTGCTTACTCAGGCAGACAGGCACCTGGGTTTCATGGTCTAAGGGGCTGTCAAATGGCCAGCCCTGACAATTTAGGAGGATATTTTTTAAAAGATACATTAGACATAATTGCTGCCTCCTGTCGGTCTCACAGGCTTGCTGTGGATGATGAACCTATGCATGGGAAACTCTGGAGGATAACCAGGGACCAGGATGTGAGTCGCTCCCAGAGGGAAAAAGAACAAACAAACTCTCTAGTATGACATTCAAGCCCTGCCCTCATCCAACTTTCCAACCTTAGACATCGACTGTGTGTAGCAGATTTTATTTCCCAAATGTGGCAGAGAGAAAGAAAAGGAGAGAGGAAGAGAAATACAGAGACATACCCCATCACACACGCTCTTATTACAATGTGACTGACACTCTTTGCACTGAGAGATGGGGCCCAGATTTCATCTCCTTGAATCTGAGTCAGGGTTTCTGATTGCTTCGACCAACAATGTATAGTATAGTGATGCTATGTGACTTCCAGGGCTAGGTCACCAAAAGCTTACAGCTCCCTCCTGGCTCATTCTCTTTAGGATGTATATCCTGGAAGCCCTGAGCTAGCATGTAGAAGTACAGTGGCCCCGAAGCTGCCATACTGGAGAGACCTTGCAGAGAGACCTCAAAGAACTAGAGAGATATCCAAGGAGCCCCGGATAGTTCAATCCCCAGCTGTTTGAGTGGTCCCCACCCAATCACCAGGCAAATGAGTCATCCTTCAGGTGATTATAGCCTTCAGTCTTCAAGCCACCCCAGCTGATGACAAGTGCATCAGAGATGAGCTGACCTTGCTGAGCCCTGTCTGAATTCTAGATGCATGATCAAAATAACTATGTTGATGTTTTAAGGCATTATGCTTTGGGGTGTTCTGTTATACAGTCAAAGTAACTGGGAGACCCCACATCTCAACACTGTACGCCAGCAAGCATGGGTTGCTCACTGAACCCCAAACTTCCTGTGCATTCACCCCTTCCTCCTGTGCTCTGCCCACACCATGAATGTTCCCCCTTCCTGAAATGCCCTGAGCCTTGCCACTTGCTTCTTTTCCATTCATTCATTCATTCACTCATTCATTCAACAAACACTTGTGAAATGCATACTATAGGGATGTCACAATAAATAAGACACATTTTCTGCCCTGAGGAAGCTCATAGTCTATTTCCAGAGAGCAAGAGTCGGAAATTGCTAAAATGATGTGGATGTGTAGCAACAGAAATAACACCAAATCATTTCAACCCTTCTACATCTACCTGCTCCAGGATATCATCCCTGGATGTCCCAAATCATACTCCTCTCTCCCTGTATTGAGATGCTTTGTGATGTGCTGGTGTAATCTCATACCAGCTTGTAAGAACTGCTTGTATACATTTCTTTCCAATTCCATATTCAGTGACTTCTCATAAGTAGCTTGAAATTGATCATGGTGGGAGTATTTATACCACAGAAATTGGCAAAAGGTACAGATCAGGACTCCCCCCACCCCCAGCCTCTTTTCTTTATGGAGACCTGGTTTTTAAACACTGACTGGCACACCACTGGAGGTACCTCTCAGTTGGTATCCATCAAGGGTTAACTTTTGGGGTGATGATGTCATATAAAAAAAATGGATCCCTCTGGGAATAGATCTCCTTTAGAAAATAACTGGAAATGTTGGTAGAAAGAAGATAAGGACTTCTTAAGATATGTAGAGCACTGCTGGCAGCAAGTCAGTTGGCTCTGACATGGACAGCTTGCTGCCTGCTGGAATTTCTTTCTTTCTTTCTTTCTTTTTTAAAGATGTTGCAAAACTTTTACAAGCCTGTCAAGGTGGGTAGTAGATAAGCTCAAGCCACTTTAGGGACGGTTGTCAGGCACTGGGGAGAAATCTATTTGCTGTCTCCTGGCCTTTGGTGGCTAAGGTAACAGACAAGAGAAATCAGCTGGGCAACTCCTATCTGCTTGGCTCCCACACCTGCCAGTGGGAAGGAGTTGCCTCCCTACTGCATCCAAAACATGGACGTGAGGTTTTATCTTGCAAAAAGTTTCATCAAATGGCAAATGATGATGTTTTCTGGTTGTTTATGGGTGGAACTGCACCCCCCTTCCCAAAAGGTATATTGAAGTCCTAACCCCCAGGACCTGTGAATGTGACTTTATTTGGAAGTAGTCTTTGCAGATGTACTTGAGTTACCCTGAAGTCATTAGGAGGGACCCTGATCCAATATGGCTGGTGTCCTTGTAAGAAGAGGAGAAGAGATACAGAGGCAGACATGTGCAGAGGGAAGACTGCGTGAAGACAGACACACACAGGGAGAATGCCTTGTGAACTTTATTTGCAAAAACAGGCAGTGGGCTGGATTTGGCCCACGGGCTGTAGTTCTTCAACTTCTGACCCAAACTCCCCCCACTTAAGTGATGAAGGGCACATTTCCTCAGTACTCCCCCAAACAGGAGGATTGCTGATGGACCACCCTCAGTTGAGTCCCTCTCCATGAGCCGTCCTTGGATAAAGAGAGCTGCTTCATCCAAGGTCACAATGCCTTCTGTGGGCAGCCTAGATCCAATGATTGGTAGGCATGGGGGCACACAATCCAACCCCCTCTCCTTAATCGAGGACAATTCTAAAAGGCCACCTGACTCTCAGTGAGATCAGCTGAGTCCTGTGATGTGACTGTATCACAAGTCAGCTTTGTCCTTTGTCCAGTTTTGCCTTCTTCACTCCCCACCAGCTGTTGACCCCAAAACACCCCACAATAAACCTCATGCATGGCACCCAGTGCCTAGAATACGAGTCCCTGAGGGACCAGGAAAACAGAAGACAGGAAATACTTGAAGGAGTAATTAATAAGAAAATCCCAGAATAAAAGGTGGAAAATCACTGGAATGAAAAAGTAACATAAAAGATGAGAGCAAATCTCATGATGTAATACCAGCTGAGGGGACTGCAATTCAGTTCTGGGACCAACCTCCTGGAGGAAGCACAGACCCCACAAATGAAGAGTTCCATCATCTGCAAGACTTCCCTCAGTCCAGGTACCAGCTGGAAGTTCAGGAGGTCCCCAGGCCACTCGTACATCTGACTGACTGGCTACAAATGTAGGGCTTCCACAATCCCCTTAGATTCAATAATTTGCTAAACTGATTCACAGGACTCAAGGACGTACTGTTTACAATTACAGTTTTAATTATAAAGGATTCAGATCAGAGGAGCCAAATGAAGAGATGCAGAGGATGAGGTTTGGGGGGGATCCTGAAGGCAGAGCTTCTGTGCCCTCTCCCTGCAGAATCAGGGTACATCACCCTCCTGGCACATCAATTCATCACCACCCTGGATGCTCCACTGAGTTGGGCATCCAGAGTTTTTACTGGAGTTTCATTATGTAGGGCAGGATTAAGTAAATCATTAACCACAGGCTTGAACTCAATCTTCAGCTACTCCTCCTCTCCCTGGAGGTCAGGCAGGCTCAACATCTTAACCATCTAATGACATAGTTGGTCTTTCTGGTGACCAGCCCCCATCCTGATGCTACCTAGGGATCCACTCAGGAAATTCCAAGGATTTAACAAGCTCATGCCAGGAATCTGCAACAAAGGCCAAATAAACCCTTTATTATTCAACACCTATACTAGAGAGAAATTAAGATTTAAAAAGAACTGATTACCTACAAAAATACAAAAATCACCTTGAAATCATACTTCTCATCAACATCACTAGAGCAAAGACTTCTGAGCAGTATGTTCAAAATGTGGAAGGAAAGTAACTTAGACCTTAGAATTATATGTGTGTGTGTGTGTGTTCAGATAACAGACCATTAAAAAAATAGTTCTATGCCACTTTATCACATGTGTAAATTCATGTAACACTACTTCTATCCTTTTTTAATTGAAGTATAGTTGATTTACAATATTGTATTAGTTTCAATATTATAGCAAGGTGATTCAGATATATATTCTTTTCCATTATGTGTTATTACAAGATATTAAATATACTTCCCTGTGCTATACAGTACATCTTTGTTGCTTATCTGTTTATTATTATTATCTGATTAACAAATGTGTCTCTGTTAATCTCATACTCCTAATTTATCCCTCCCACCCCTTCTCCCTTAAAACCGTGTTTGTTGTCTATGTTGGTGAGTCTGTTTCTGCTTTATAGATAAATTCATCTGTATTATATTTTTAGATTATACATGTAAGTGACTTATAATGTTTGTCTTTCTCTGCCTGACTTATTTCACTTAGTATGATCACGCCTAAGTCCAGCCATGTTGCTGCAAATGGCAGTATTTCCATTCATTTGTATGGCTGACTAATATTTATATACATATATATACCCCCAACACATCATCTTTATCTGTTCATCTGTTAATGGACACCTAGTCTGTTCCAGGTGTTGGCTATTGTAAACAGTGTTGCTATAAACATTGGAGTGCATGTATCTTTCAAATTTGAGTTTTCATCTTTTCTAGATGTATGCCCGGGACCAGGATTGCTGGATCATAGGGTAAGTCTATTTTCAGGTTTTTAAGGAAACTCCATACTGTTTTCCATATTGGCTGCACCAATTTACATTCCCATCAACAGAGTAGGAGGGTTCCCTTTTCTCCATACCCTCTCCAGCATGCATTATTTACAGACTTGTTGATGATGGCCATTCATTGGTGTGAACACCAATGCTATCTTAATAACTGAACTATTTTATCACCACAAAGATTTCCCTCATTCTACCCCTTTATGTTGACACCCACCCTCACCCCTCTCACTGTTCCTAATCCTTGGCAAGCTGAATGTTCACCTCTATAATTTTGTCCTTTGAGAATGTCATATAAATGGGATCATACAATGTGTGAGTTTTTGAAGTTTTTTTTTTCCACTTACTATAATGCCCTTGAGATCCATCTGAGTTGGTATATCTTAATAGTTCACTCCTTTTCATTGCTGAGTAGTATTCCATGGTATGGATGTACACTGTATGTTTAGTCATTCACAGTTTGGTTGGTCTCAGTTTTTGACTATTACAAATAAAGTTACTATGAACATTCATGTACAAGTTTTTATGTGGACATATATTTTCATTTATCTGAGTACAACTGATAAGTTATATGGTAAGTGTACATTTAACTTCATAATGAAACTGCTGAACTACGTTCCAGGTGGCCGTACCATTTTACATGCTAACCAGCAACTGTGTAAAAGATCTCGTTTCTTCATATCCTCACTAACATTTGGTATTGTTGCTATTTTTTATACTTAAACTAAATAGCACGGTTTAATTTACTAGCTGCTTAATCCTGATTGTCATTATTTTTTATTTTAGCTACTCTAATAGGTATGAAGTGATATCTCATCATGTTCTTAATTTACATTTCCCTAATGGCTAGTGATGTTGAACATCTTTTCATGTGCTTGTTTGCCATCAAACATCATATATATTGAGGGCACAGTGAAGATAGTTTTAGACATTTTCAGCCTCAGTAGATTTACCATAAAGCCATTCTTTTTAAAAAACTTAGAGAAAGTTTTCCAGTGAAAATAAAAATAAATTCAAGGATATGCTACAAGATAAATTAGAATGATTAATACAATTTAATAAATTTCACTGTTGAGTAAAGAACAAAAGAATAAATACATTCTTAGGAATGCAGAACTTAAATTTTAGACATGAGGGAGCTTGAGGTTGGGGAAGATGCAATGGAAGGATTATGAACTTGAATGGTGAAACTCCAGGAACCAGCATTTAGACACTACACTCCCCAACTGACCTGATGTACCTCGTTTTGTTTGTGAAAGTGCCTGGCCTATGTAGTCAACAGAGACGAGTTTGATTTTAGAAAAATGCATATAAAGAGCCCTGAAATAAACACATAGACTTACAGTCAACTAATCTTTGACAAAGGAGACTAGAATATATAATGGAGAAAAGACAGTCTCTTCAGCAAATGGCATTGGGAAAACTGGACAGCTGCATGTAAACCAGTGAAGTTAGTACACTCCCTCACACCATACACAAAAATAAAATGGCTTAAAGACTTAAATATATTTAAGACAAGACACTATAAACCTCATGGAAGAAAACATAGGCAAAACATTCTCTGACAGAAATCTTACCAATGTTTTCCTCGGGCAATCAAAATAGAGCGATAGAAATAAAAGGAAAAGTAAACAAATGGGACCTAATTAAACTTACAAGCTTTTGCACAGTAATGGAAACCATAAGCAAAACAAAATGACAACTTACGGAATGGAAGAAAATATTTGCAAATGATGCGACTGACAAAGGCTTAATTTCCAGAATACATAAACAACTCATACAACCTAATAAGAAAAAAACAAACAAACCAATCCAAAAATGGGCAGAAGACCTAAACAAGAAATTCTCCAATGAAGACATATAAATGGCCAATGGGAACATGAAAAAATGCTCAGTGTCACTAATTATCAGAAAAATGCAAATCAAAACTACAATGAGGTATCACCTCACACCAGTCAGAATGGCTATCATTAAAAAGTCTATAAACAATAAATGCTGGAGAGTGTGGAGAAAAGGAAACCCTCCTACACTGTTGGTGGGAATGTAGTTTGGTGCAGCCATTATGGAAAATGGTATGGAGATTTCTCAAAAAAACTAAAAATAGACTTACTATATGATCCAGCAATCCCACTCCTGGGCATATATCCAGAGGGAACTCTAATTTGAAAAGATGCATGCACCCCAATGTTTACAGCAGCACTATTTACAATAGCCAAGACATGGAAACAACCTAAATGTCCATCAACAGATGACTCGATAAACAAGCTGTGGTATAATTATATAATGGAATACTACTCAGCCATAAACAAGAATAAAATAATGCCATCTGCAGCAACATGGATGGACCTGGAGATTTTCATTCTAAGTGAAGTAAGCCAGAAAGAGAAAGAAAAAATACCATATGCTATCACTCATATGTAGAATCTAGAAAAAGAAAAAGAAGACACTAATGAACTCATCTACAAAACAGAAAGACTCACAGACATAGAAAACAAACTTATGGTTACCAGGGGGATAGGGGGTGGGGGAAGGGATAAATTGGGAGTTCAACATTTGCAAATATTAACTACTATATATAAAAATAGATAAAAAAAAAACCTACTGTATAGCACATGGAACTATAGTCAATATTTTGTAGTAACCTATAATTAAAAAGAATATGAAAACAAATATGTTTGTATGTATTATATATATACATATATATATATGACTGAAACATTATGCTGTACACCAGAAATTGACACACTGTAACTGAGTATACTTCAATTTAAAAAAAAAGAAAATGCATAGAATTGTCTCAGCATTGGGGATGTTTGAGAAACTAAGTGGGGTTTCCACCTATATATGACAGCAAGAAATCTGCTTTTATTTCAATTTTCTCACCCAGCCCAACCTTTTCCTATGAGGTCTGCCCACACGGTACAGTGTTTGTAAAAGATGGAGTTGGGGAAGGAAAGGAAGAGGAATCATCTATTTCAGGCTGGTTTAATCAAGGAAGACTTCCTGGAGACACAAAAAGCTATGATCAGCATTGAAAGTTGAAGGAGGAAGAGCTGGAAAGGAGTTAAGGTTATGGGTGATGCTAGGTGCTGGTATACAGATATGTATTTCCATTTCCCTCTCCAACAACGTTCTAGACTCTACAGTATCACCCCTGCTCCAGAGCACATGGATGGAGGAAGGAGAGCTAGACATTAATGAAGGGAATTTTCCCAACAGGCCCAATTTTCCTTTCTCTGAGGCCATTACAACAAAGCGCTTAAAGTTCTGCTACAAAAGGACTACTTCTTATCTTATAGATGCTGGGCAGTTCTGTTTGGAGGCTCCCAGGAGCTAAAATTGTCTGTGAAGTGGCTTTGGACAAACAAGGCAAGGAAGTCCTGGGGAGAGCCCACTGCGGGGTGTATACAGTCAGTCACTTTCCTCTCCCAGGAGTGACACCGAGGCTATTTTCTGACCGACTCAAGGGCCGAGGGTACAAGGGACTGTTTTTCCACAGCAGCCTGAGCTCAGCATGCGGACACTCCTACCTCCAGTCCTGTATCTTGCCTCTTACCTTTTAACTGTCCCCTACTAGAAAAGTCCCTAATTGGAATCTTTCTTCAAAAAGCCATTGACAACTAGGACAGAAATGTCTTGCCCTTATCATGAATATGTAGACAGTGGTCTCCTGGAGTAGGGAAAAAAAGCACAGATTTGGAGCAAGACAACTCTGCATTTGAAACCCAGTTCTACCATCTTATTTTGGATTCATAACCATTGTGATCCTCAATTCCATCAGCCATAAAATAGGAATAATAGGGGGGTGGTATAGCCCAAGTAGTAGAGCACATGCTTAGCACGCACCAGGTCCTGGGTTCAATCCCCAGCACCTCCTCTAAAAACAAACAAACAAACAAGTAAACCTAATTACCTTCCCACCGCAAAAAAAAAAATTTTGAAAAAAATAGGAATAACAGCTACCTCGGAGAAATGACGCCAGGACTCAGTGAGATAAGACACATCATACATAACTGTAGGCGCAAAAGCACAACACATATTAATACTTCCCTTATTTCTGGAAAAATGCTAATGCCTTCCATAAAACTAGGAGGGGACTCACTCTTTGAGGACCCTGAAACATGTTGAACACAGCACCCGCCACACCCAACATAGCATTATAATTGGGGTGTTCAGGAAAGCAGCTCCAGGTGATTACTTGTGCGTGGGGTGATGGGGTGCAGTCACTGAATAAACTGTGTGGGCACCAGACTCATTCCTTAGTCTGGCCAAAGATCCGTGAGGCTCTCTGCCCAGCGGAGGAATAAGAATGAGTCAAATCAATGAGATTAGTTCCTTCAGAATTTGAACCAGATCTCTGGAGCTGGAAATGAGCCAAGTGAGGGGAGAAGTGGGGGTGACAAGTAACAGTGACCAAGTAAGCCACCAGAGAGAGACAAATCCACCCTGAAAAGCAGAAGTCACTGCTGGAGCCACCGTTTCTTGCCCTTTTCTCAGATCCAGTAGCAGCCCAAGTGCTTCCTAGCAATGAGCGCTTTCCCTCACTTGGTTTGAATGAATCTATTTCTTGAAACCAAGGGACCTTTTGCATACATTCTGTAATTGGCCTAAATGTCAGGGAATAGAGTTTGCTCTTTCCTTTGAGATACGGGTATGCATTTCAGATTGAGCAGTTACTAACTTTCTACAGAGGTACATGAGTGAGAAGACCTGGGACCTCCTAGAGTATCGCCTGTAGAAAAACACACATCAGCAGAGCAAGAACATGATTCACTTGGTACACAGGCATTGGGCAGTGGATGTTTATCAGGTGTTTTTCTGATTCAGCATATGAGCTTCCTTCCTAGTTCTTGGACACCCTGCCACACACTGTGAATCTTGGGGGTGGGCAAGGCATAGCCAGTCATGAGAGAAAGATCAACTTTCTTCCTTCTTCCTAGCATTGACGGTGAGGGCACACAGCCTCAGCTCAGACAACTGAGGGTTCATGGAAGTATTCTGAATCTCAAGTGACAGATACACTGAAAGATACCACTTCATTAGATGCACAGTGACCACCCTATATAGCATGAGTGTTAAAT